TTTACTCCTTGCTTTCCCTCCCTGTCTCTAACTTGCTGGGATGTGGTCTGCAGTTCTGGTTGCCTGGCTGCATCCAGGCTACAGCTCGGTGCTGCGGGGGGCCGATCATCAGCAAGAGCAATACTTCGTTAGCACCAGTGGCTGGAGAGCCCCGGCCAGCACGGATATCGCACGCAGTGATGGTGTTTGCAGCGCGCAGTCACTGCACAAGGGCCAAAGGCTGGGAACAGACAGCCCTGGAAACCTTTGCGAATAGTTGCTGCCTGCAAATGCTGCCTTGGTCAGCACAGAGAGGTGCAAGATTTCCCCTACAATGAATCGGCATGGGATTTGGGTCCCAGGGCAGCAGGTCTGCCTCTCCATCGCAGCAGCCACAGCAGAAATCGGTGGCAGCTTCACCTGATCTGGTTACATGGGTGCAGAACGTCATAGCCGGGTTGTAAATGCTGCTCTGAGATCATCTAATGAGGATTTGTCCCTCTCCCTCCTCCTTTGGGTAAATTTATGAAATAAAATATTTTTATTTTTGGAGCTGAGAGAGGAAAAAGGCAAATTTGCACATCTTTTCAAGGGGATGGTGATGTTTACTGAAATTTCTCACGCAGCCACTAGATGCCCCTGTTTTCTGATGAGGGCTCCAGAGCTGGGCATGCACTGGGGTGCCACAGCCAGGACCTGAACTTGGGGTTAAAACTATGTAGAAATCCTCTATTGCTTCAGCCTCTTCTTCCCTAATGACCTTCTAATTAGCTGGACTGTCCTTCCACATGCGGCAATTAGGCAAGACGGTGCTGCTCGGTGGTGGGCATGGTGTTACCCGCCTGCCTTTTCTGCTCCGGTTCTCTGGTGGATCTGGAGGAGGTGATGTAAAGCTCAGTCAGCAGTGGCTGTGCATCTGGGTATGGCCACCTGGACCTGCACACCCTGCATCTGTGACCATATAGCCCGTTGCAGTGTCCTAGCCCTGGAGCGGCACTCTCAGCCCCCACTACCCCTTGGCGGTGAATCAATCTGTATCAGAAAAGTCAGCCTCCGGGCAAAGCGATTAACCCAAGCAGAAACATTTCCCTAACTAATCCTGAAGTGTTTCCCTGTGAATGTTTTGTACAGGTCCAGAAAGGAGACTGATGCCATTCAAATGGGAATCTGGCGCTGTGTGAGGGAGCTTTTGTGGCTGCCGAAATAGTTATGCCTCCAGAAGATAAATGCTTGCACCGTGTCCTTCCAGCCCCGGAGAAAGCAGACAGCAATGGTCAGTGTAGAAAATCACATAAAAAATTTGCTCCTTCTGAAGGGATCCCTCCCCCAAAATGATCTTGACTTACGCAAGGATTTATTTCAGGGTCTCTTAAATTAAGGAGAGCAAATGTTTCCGCTCTGGTGGTTCCCTGGCCAGGCTTTGTGAGGCTTGCACCAGCACATTTTCTCTTACTAAATTCTGCACCAGGCCCTAAGGTAACAGTGCATGGTAAATATTACGGTCAAATACCCAACTCAGAAATCCTGTAATATACGGAGCGGTGATTTATGGATTTGGTGCAAAAAGACCTTGTTTATGTCTGGGCACTCAGTGTCACAAAGGAAATATTAGAGATCTCCTTGCTTGAGCTCTTTTATTAACAAGACGAGTGAAACCTTCAGAAGAGAACAAAAGTGGGCTCTCAGGATGAGAACACCTATAAAGGGCTTCTGCTGCCTAATTCTTCCTGTTTTCAGGAACAAGGTGCCTAATTAGCACTGCTGAATGTGATGGGGGCTCAGAGCTCTGAGTCATCTGGGAAGATGTACTTTTTCAGTTGACACTGCTGGAGAAGCTAGGAGCACCTCAGAGGAAGCACTAGAAATTCCTAGTGACCTAGTATCACAAAAACTACTGGGATCCAAAATATCTTTGCAGATGTTTAGAAATCAGTAGTTACTCTGTCTATCACCCACTGCAACCAAAAGGGTCCCTCTGCTTCCCTCCGGAAGCTCTGGATCAGGGTGTAAACCTCGTGAGACCACTCCTCTCGGCATCCTGCTGCTTGTAACTGTGTTTAGTGCGGTCTAATACACAGGTTTTTGGTTATGAGACATGAAAGGATAGTAACCAGCCTTGTGATCATGATGGTACCAGCATAACAACATCTCAGGCAGGCTTATGTACCTGGAAGCTACACATCACCTGCCATTTTATCATAAACTAAAAAAAAAGGCTCAAATGTACAATAGAAAATGAAGCCTGAATTAACTGGTATCACTCTTCTCTCAGTGATTTCCTTGTGTTTTCCCTTGGGCCTATGCTGCTCTGTAGGATTATGGTATTCCAGAGCCATTGGTCTAACGATAACATGACTAAGAAATAAGGAGACTCCCCTCTCCACGCTAATCCATGCCAAGAGAATGCTGAAGGCAGTAGATAAAAGAGTCGCTAACACTGGGCTGCATTTTGCCTCTAAGAATTGCGTCCCAGAGGCTGTAGCCATTTTGCAACCTTTTTAATTTTCAGAAAAAATGCCTCCTGTGTCCATAATTAAGAGTCTAATATGCCACAGGGTCCTGTTTATCACAGTAAGTTATTTTGCAAAAGAACAGATAGAGAGACACTTTGTAGGTCTTTTTAATATCTTTCAGCCAGTCCATTAGATGGAGCTGTGATACTGGGGATTTTAATCACTGATATTCATTATTCAGTTATTATTCATTTATTTTAATAAAGAAGCTGCATGTTTCCTTTGTTTCACAGGCAGCAAGATCTGGTGAGGAATTTCAAAGCATGGAATAGTTTGGTTATCTTCATCGTTGGCTAACTATGTTCACAAGTTTGCAGGGTGAACATCATGCTGAGCTTTCTTTTCTCTTAGCACCTCGCAGAAGGCATGTGGATTCAAGGCAAAGACACCTGTAAAAGTGGCGTGCATCAGAGGACATATGGAAGCAGTCTTTTATCTCATGTGATGATTAATTGCATGTTCCCAGCTGGAATATAATTTGAAAGCTCTATGCTGTTCTTCAG